GGTGATGCATTTTGAGAAGTCTAATAAGGAAAGGATTTACACAATAAATGGTATGTTCCTAGGGAGTACTGAGAACAAAGGGACCTGGGTTTACAATTCCATGGATCCCTGAAGGTGTCAGCAAGTAGACAGGGTGGAGAAGAAGGCACAAAGGATGCTTGCCTTCACTAGCCAGGGCAAAGAACATAGGAGCGAGGAAGTCTTGTTAAAACTTTATAAAGCATTGGTTCGGCCACAGATGGAATACTGTGTGCAGTTCTGGTTGCCACACTATCAGAAGGATATGATTGTACTGGAGAGGGTGCAGAGGAGACTCACCAGAATGTTGCCTGGGATGAAAAGTCTCAGTTATGAGGAGAGACTGGATGAGCTGAGGTTGTTTTCCTTGGAGCTGAGGAGGCTAAGGGGGAATCTTATTGTGACAAAATCATAAGAGGCATGGACAGAGTAGATCATGACAGATGTGTCTAAGACCAGAGGGCATAAGTTTAAATTGAGGAGCAATTGGTTTAGAGGAGATCTGAGAATTTTTATTTCACTCAGGGGGTGGTAGATATATGGAAAGTTCTGCCTGAGTGGGTGTTGGAGGCAGGTACTCACAATATTTAAGAAGCATCTGGACGAGCAATTAAAATGTTGAGGTATGGTAGGATATTCACCAAGTTCAGGTAAATGGGAATAATGTAGTTTGGTGTTTATTGGTTAGCATAGTTATGGTGGGCTGAAGGGCCTGTTTCTGTGCTGTATAAATCTATGAAATTTGTGGCACCCAGCGTAACAAATTGTCATTTTCTGGAAAAATGCAGACAGTCCAACAAAAAGAATATAATTGGAATCCTTACTTGAGGATTTATTTTCTCTCAGAGAGTTGTGCAACTTTGGAAACCTCTGCCTTAGAAGTCAGTGCAAATGGGGTTGTTGAATATCTTCAAGGTGGAAATAGATAGATTCTTGTTAGGCAGGGGAATCAAAGATTATCAGGGATAGATGGACATGTAAAATTCAGAATGCAAACAGATCAGCCTTGATCTTTTTTGAATGGTGGAGCAGGCTTGAAGGGCTGAAAGTCTGCTGCTCCTAATTCTTACGTTCATACGTTACCTCATTCTTGCTTTTTCTTTGTCTTTCCTGACAGGAAAAAATTCCAAAAGTTTAAGGAAAGTTTGATCAAAGTACGATCCGTTGTCCTCATGTTTACAAATCGCAAAAGATTTCTCAGAGTAAGTAAAAACATTCAGTGCACAGAATTATTCCAGACTCCATGTCCACCTGATCTATTTCCATATGGTCCACCTGGTCCATGTCCACCTGGCCATAAGGTTTGTGTCCATCTGACCTGTAATGTGAAGCTTTAATATGAATGTGTGAATACAATAGCCAAATCATGAGAAGTGATGTAAGGTCACATGACTACTGGGAGATTAATTCTCTCTAGAAGAATGGTGTGAAATCTTGTCTTGTATGTTTATCATGTTAAATAAAAAGGTAATGTTTGCCACAAACCTCCTGCAATCTTTTTTATCAGCCCCACTACCAGACACAACAAAACTAGAACAACAGAATAACAGATAAAGGTTGAAGTGGGTATTAATGATTACCTGTCACTGTTTCAAGAAGACATTGTGCCTGGCCAACGTTCCTAACTAAATCATGTTACAAAGCGGAGGGTGACGTCCCCACTCCCCCCGATGACTGAATTCCGAAACACCTAGAGAAGTTTGCCTCACCTCATAATCTGTTAAAGGAAGTATGAAAAGTGGTATAATCTGCCTCTCACCAATACCCCCAATCTGTTATAAAGGAGAGGTTAAATGACAGTCACTCTATAATCAACAAGTGACAATTTATTTACCTAACTCTAACAGTGAACAAATTAACAGAACTACTAACAAATCGAACAATTCCCCCTTAACTACTAACTATTCCCAAATAAAACAAAATTCTAATGGTATGCTGTTTCAATAGATGAAAGTCCCACTTATATAAAGCAAATTGATAAAAAAAATTAAATCTTAATTTCTCAAAATTACAGCCAGGATAAGTATTCCGGAATGTTCTTTGCCTTCTCCACTGTCCTCCAGTCAGGAATGCCTTCCTCCATCGAATTCTTGTGTCAGAAATATTCACTGAGAATACATAGTACCTTTATTTAGGTGGTCCATACTCTGAGATCTTAGAGATTTCTGCAAGGTCCAGTGATTTTCTCTTTCTTTAGAGCTGATGGCTGTTGAGAGCTGTTCACTTAACAGATGGCAGTTTGCTTTCATCCGGTTTTCAAATGCCCTCTTCTTTTATACCCTTGATGACTCATTGATTTCTTACACTAGGATTGGTCTGAGGTTGTCAAAACCATCAGATTTAAATTTAATTGAGCTTTGGTATCTGGGGCCTGGTTTAAATTAATTGGCTAAATTCAAAACCTGCTGTCTTGGTAAAAATGCTGCTTTGTCTGCTTACTGTATAGCCTTTTTATATAATGTTTTAATTTCAAGAACTCTCTGTGCATCTGCTGCTGTCTGCAGACATATTTTTTAATCTAAGCCTTAAAAAACACACTTTTAAAGGGACAATGCACTCTTCCCCCCATCATTTTACAAACAACTTCTAACGTCCTGTCTTCCAATCCACAAGTACTATATCAACTTTGCAACAATCACCATTTCTAATAAGAAACTAACTGATTATTTTTGTGGGATCTTGCCACGCAAAGTCGCTACTATGTATTGGTGAATAATGTTGTTAAACTTCACAGCATTTCATTGTGGAGCCCAGTCTCTTACCGTAGACTCCCGAACCAAGCAAAGTACAATGGATTTTCTCCAGAATTTGAATAAACCTCCTGCTGCAATGATGACAGGGATTTGAAAAATCTAGCAGATGTTAATGGCATGTACATGAAAATTTGTTGGATCTTTCAAAAATGTGAAGTAGCGTTTTATTTTTCTTATGTTTTTTTTCTCTTTGTAGCTACGAGAACAGAAACGTGCGAGGATTGAGATGGTAACAGATTTCTTTTTATATCGTTCTTGGTTTGTCTCCCATTACACCTCATACGTGGGTACAACACCATGTACAGGGACTTGATAATGCATATTGGGCTAGACTCCCACATGCTGAGATATAGTATCATATACTGTAGTATGAAATCACAACCTAGAATATGATCCCACAGTATCACATACTGTATTATACTCCAGATGGTTGGCACTGGAATGCACTGCCTGAGAGCATTGTGGGACAGTTTCAAAAGAGTACGAGATGAACACCCGAATAGAGAAAATGTCCAAGGTTATAAGTGAAGTGCAGGAGAGTGAGACCATCTAAGTCACTTTTGTCGACAGCCACTATATGTGCACAACAGACTGAATGGCCTTATTCTGTGCTTTAATCATTCTGCAATTCTATAACCCAAACCCTAATCCATCAACCCTAATTCTAATCTTAGAACTAACGCATTGATCTCACCATAACCTTAACCGCCAAATCCTAATTCTAATCGATTAACTCTAATTCATTATCTCTAGCCTTAACTCTCAATCTTGAACCATTAATCCTCACCTCAATCATAAACCTTGCTTTCTATTATTTAGATTTATATCCAAACTACACTGACTCTTGTCCAATACACTTGAATGTTAGTGACCCTCATTTTATTCCCTCTTCTGACAAACCTGTGCTCCATCTCTATTTCTTTTCCCATTATCTCTCAAGTCAGTCAACCAAATCTTGATTAGAAATATGAGAATTTATAAATCGGTAATTAAAGAAAGAGGATTATTATTGAGTTTGAAATTCTGACTGATGCAGAGCTTTTGGGACATAAGTTCAAAGCTATCTGTTTCGCTGAAGCACACTACAACCTCTACATGCATGCTGTATGCCAAATTGTTCTTAATATTTTTGTATCCTTCCTGATTAATTGTTTTCTCCATGTTGAGACTCAGCTTTGTTTTAAAAGTTATTTTAAAATGAGACATTAAGCTGAAGTTTTTCAGAACTAGGGGATACTGTTTTAAATTTAGGGGTCACCCTAACAGGACAAGAATGAGGAGGAATATTTTCTGTCAAAGGATTGTGGAACTATGGAACTCACTGCCTCACAAGGCAATGGGGTTGGGATCGTTGAATGTTGTTAGGGCAGAGTTCAATGGAATCATATTAGGAAATGGAATCATCATAGGTCATCGGAAATAGATTGGAATGAATTACGAAACACAAACAGATCAGCTCCGATCTTATTAAATGGTGGAGCAGGCTCAAAAGGCTGAATGGTCTATTGCTATTCCTATTTAGATGCTCACTTGTCTTGCACGCATCATTGAGACACATCAAAACTTAGAAAGTGAAGAACAATTGAAATACCATGAGAAGGTATTGATTGGTTAAATCATGATTGACATGGAGATGCCACAGGAATGATTAACTGTAAATCTAAGTTATCCAATGAAACTGAAGCCAGACAAGTAAACTCTGATTAGTGAGGACATTGCCATGTGGATGTAGCAGGGATTGACATCTCCATAACCTTTTCCTGAATAAAAAAAATGCAATTTGTGGAGAAATCCTTTTTGCCCTCCAAAATCAAGATATTGGGTGTGAATATGAGTAGCTTCTACCACAAACAGCTGAGTCACACTGTAAGCCTGACTGGCAAACTTAAATTGGTTTTCAGTGTAATGCTCAGTACAGTTAGGATTATTTAGTAAATGCTGCCTAATAGCAGAATCACATCTGTCGTTGGGCATGGTGTTCTGACACAAGCTAATTAAGACTGACAGTTCACAGTTCCTGTTGTACCTCCATGCAATCTATGGTCCAACCAATCAGAACCCTTTTTTCATGCTATATAAGTTATTGTTCCCATTCTAAGTTCTTGTATCCCACTCCTGATGAGTGCAAGGCAGGAAAAAACTTCAATTTTGTTTGTTTTTAGCAGTGTTTATATTCTGCACTATCAAGTAATTACAATTTTTTTGCTGAGAATTTAGTTATAAAACAGTGATCTTTTCAATCAGGAACAAACAATGAGGGAAGTGGTGAATGTCGCACACCTGGACATTCCTGCTGAGTTGTCCTCCTTACTCCAAGCAGCAGCAGCAGCAGGTATGGTTTTTGTTTCATTATTCATTTTGATTCATTATTCTGTTGTTCTCTACTTCTCCCTCTCTCTCTCCTGCCCCCCCCTCTCTCTCTCACCCCCTTCTCACCCCCCATCTCTCTTTCTCCCTCTCTCTCTCCATCCCCCACCCCACCTCTCCTTTCCTTGTCTTTTATTTTACCCATGCCTTTCACACATTCTCTGTATCTCTGCCTATTTTCAGTGGATATATCACACTAGTAAATAGTTCAGTTTGCACCTGACCGCACTGGAAATGTTACAGATAAAGTAATCTGAAAATCCCCTGAACCTGCACCTTAAATGTCACAGAAGTTGCAATGTTGCACCTCAACTCTAAAACCTGAGAATTCAGGGCTCTAAATATACACCATGTCGGTGAAATTATGTGGTGATATTCATTATCTGGTGTGTTGGGTGCCATGAGATTATAAGTGATCTCTTTAGAAGTTTACTGACAATCTCAGTACAGAAAATACATATATGAAATCTGCCCATTGTCTGTTGCTGCTTTACTTCATGGTTTGCCTTTTAAAAGTTGCAATACTTTTATAATTCCATACCCAGAACGTATTGTCCCCTTTTCCTCACTGTGAAAAACATACTGAAAATACTTAGGAAGATGTTGATGTCTGAATGTTGTTTGCTTTTGTGCAGCTGGTAAAGAAAATCAGACTGATTGTATTATCCAGATTGAAACTCCACAGGTTCAATCAGAGGAACAGCTAGTGATGGCTCTTGATATCAACAACTATCCTTTTTCCAACTTTGTACGGATTCACTTCAAGGTAAATGTGTGTGGAATCCTATGCTGATTAGACAGCACATAAATGATTTGGAGGAGGGTACAGAGGAAGTCCCTTACATTGCTGTCATTGATGTTTTATTTCATGCAGAAGCACTTATTTGGTATGTTGACCACTCCATTGGATGAAGCGCTGACCCAATCAGAAGAGGATTTGAAAGAAGAAGCTGTTATGGTCTTCAAGTTGGTAAGGCTCAAGGGATTAACCGTTAGCAAACAGTGTGATATAACGGTGATGTGCTGGCTGTAGCCCAGAATGCAATTAACTGCTTACACCCTGGTCACTGCTCTGCTACTCAGTAGTTACTGGCTGGAGTGAGTCTCTTCCCAGTTTTCCTTGTCTTGCTCCAGGCTGCCCCACTTGGTGTTTCTGACAAATAGCTGCAGTAAAAAATCAGGAATTTAGGAAAGTGCAAGCACACACTCAGGACATCTGTACTGTAGCATTGTCAGTTTTATTTATACTCACAACATATCCTACCTGAAACATTCGATTCATGTTTAGTTTGTAATTCACTCTGAGCATCATTCAAGGATGTGTATGCAGCATTGAGAGGATTTAAAAGCTATACTTCTTTGATGTTTGATGAATAGTTAGGAGCTGTCCACCTCATTTCCATATGAAACCAAATCTGAAAGTTGCCCCATTTCAGTTTTAATAGACATGAAGTTGACAGTTTACACATAGAGGTGATGAGAATGATTTATGTGGGAATTGTGAACTTGAAAATGATGCACTAGATGGATACTCCCCCAAGTTCAGGAGGGGCTGAAAGTAAATTATTTGAATAGGATAGACTATGACATACTTAATGTGGGAATACTTGATGCAGATCCATATATCCAGTGGTAAATATTCCACTTATCAAAATCTCACCCAAGAACACGAGGAACAGATTGAAAGGTTGTGGTAAACTATATTAACAGAGCTCCACCCTGTGGAAAGGTAAAGTACTGAGCTGTACAAATCGCAGGCTTAATTCCTTCTCTGATGAAGCGATCTCAACCAAAATGGTGTCAGAGATAGTAGGAACTGCAGATGCTGGAAAATCTGAGATAACAAGGTGTAGAGTTGGATGAACACAGCAGGCCAAACAGCATCAT